GCATAGTCTAGATCAGTGTTTCCCATCCAGCAGTACGGGTCCCCGTCGGGGTACTGGAGAGACATCTGGGGGGTAGCGCAGCACGACTGACATTTGGAGAAAACGGAATTTTTGTTTGACGTTTGACGGCGCTTTATTCTTTTGATACTTTTTACACCCAAAAATGTCATCGCCTGCCCAGCTGCGATTAAGTTGTTTAAACAAAAGTGTTGCACCGGTCGAAAAAAAAAATGGTGTGTCTGAAAACTGAAGCTACTGGAGGTACTTATATATATTTTTAAAGGGGCTCTTTATAAAAAAAAAAAGGTGGAGAAACACTCGTCTAGATGCTCAGTCTGCCAGCTGTCCCCGAAGGGGTCACCCTCTGGGGGAGGGGTATTAAACATCTGCCAGCTACCTTGCCCCCGCTGGCCATAGAATGGCAGGCAGCTGCTGGGGAGAAGCTGAAGTGAGGAGTTAATTGGTCTAAATGAAGCACCTGGCCGGCTCCATGCCTCCTCCCAAAACCAAACAGCAGCAGCTTTCAAAAGGAGGGGCTTTGCCCCTGCCTGCAGACTGGCTGGCCTCTCCCTGCCAGGCCCTGTGCACTCCAGCTTGGAGGGTCAAAGTTGTTCCGGGACTTGCAACCTCACAACTCCCCAGGGAGGTAGGTGTTGTCAGCAGCTCTGTCTCCAGCTGCAGATGGTGAAACCCAGTGACTTGCTCACCTCACCCTTCCTATTTGGGGAAAGGGCTTGGACAGAGCCTAGGCTACTTGTTGCTCTTCCCTTGCTTTAACCACTGGGCTACGCAGCCCTCCACAGAGGAGCCCAGGAATGCTGAGTCCTCCATCTCAGACTCCTAACCTGTTGCTACTTTTTCCCTATTGGTGCGTCCAGACTGGCAAGATTTTGCGCAAAAGTAGCTGTCTACACTGGCCGCTTGAATTTGCGCAAGAGCACGGACATTCTAATGTAAGAATTCAGACAAATACTTTGATGCTCCTGCTCAGGGATAAGCCCTCTTGCGCAAGAGGGCCAGTGTAGACAGGCACCTTAATTTTTTGCCCAAGAAAGCCCGATGGCTAAAATGGCCATCGGTGCTTTCTTGTGCAAAAGTGCGTCTATACTGGGCATAGATGCTTTTGCGCAAAAGCATCTGTGAAATACTTTTAATGGAAAAACTTTTCCGTTAAAAGTATTTCCGCAAAATCATGCCAGTCTAGACGCAGCCTATATGTATGGGTGGTGTAGCCTGCTACATGAGAAACAAGCAAGGTGGAGGAAGGAGGCATGCGGGTACTGGCAGGGGGGGGGTGCTGTCTGATGCCACCAGGCAGCCCCCGTGCCCCAGGCTAAAGGTTTAAAAAATACCAGGCAGATTCCCACAGGAGGGGAGGGGTAAGGGCTGCCCAGCCCATGCCAGCCGCTGGGCCTACGGGACAGGGGCTGGCATGCTCAACGAAGCCCCTTCTCTCTGAAGCACTTGGCACTGGCCTAGCTGGACCCTTGCTCTGACCCGAGCTTGTCCCTGGCCTCCGGGCAGGCTGCTGGGGGTGCTGTAACTTTGTGTGACACCTGCCCCCCCGGCCGGAGACCTGGACTCTGCGGGAGGGGGCCTGGGTTCGAGCTGGGGGGTGGGGGATGCTACACGGCCGCACAGAGGGGGTTAGAAGGGCATTCAAAGCGCTTGGAGATCCTATCAGGGAGGCTGCAGGAGATGGGTTGGG